AACCTGGGCACAAGAGAGCTCAATGCTGGCGACTTCAACACAGGGGAAATGCTACAGCAGGAAAGGCTGCTACCCAAAAAGGTTGTTGGAACTGTGGAGAGCAAGGACATATGAGGAGCCAGTGTAAGAAGAATATTACCAACAAGTCAGCCCCAAGGAGACCAGTAGTGGTTGGTGTTGAGAGACACTCACCAACGTGAGTAGCACGTGATGCGGCCTAGAAGATTCTTGAACAGGCTTCACGGCCGGTATTATCGTATATAAGCGCGCTAGACAAATGACACGGTAGAGAAAGAGAGAAAAAGAGAGAGTGGGGAACCAAGGACAGCAGTTACGGTCGGCGGGAACTGAGGATAGCAGATACAGAGATCGGAACTATAGTTGCTGACAGGCGGAGATAGAGACGGACAATTGAGTCAAGCGCGGTAGAAAGTGAGTGAATTGTTGTGAACTATAGTGTGTGTAACTGTGAAAATTAAGTGTATTGCAAAGTTGTATTGAGGAAGAATAAACAAGTTTTATTTAAGAAAGGACTTGTATCGTAGAAAAATTAACAAGCAAACATACGGAGACGTAACAGACCATAAAACTGGAATTATAATTTTCAACTTAAATGGTACCATAGGCGCACCCATCATCACAAGGGCTTTGTTCAAATCTTTGAATTGAATGATGGGATTGACTATCACTGTATTATAATAGCTGAAAACCTTGACACCAGAACCCTTCGACCCGTATCCCGGACACACGCTAATTATTATGTGACACTTAACTCTTACGATAAACAGAGAAAAATGGGAATTTTGAGAGAATCAGATTAATATACATTGTGCAAAACAACGAATATATATATAAACATTTAATTTTAAATTTAAGAATTGGTGATCTTATGAGAGAGAAAAAGGCTTAGAGTGGATTGAATTCGACTCGTCGAGACTAGGATTAGTCTAAATTAAACTAACTGTTACCTATAACTATATATATATATATATATATATATAACATATGTTGCACATAATGTACAATATATTAAGCATTCTTTTATCCTATAAAAGTTTGTTTGTGTTTAAGCACAAGTTTACGTAATAGGCCATATACCCTGTACCCACCATAGGTATCAAACCCCAACATTTGTTGTTATAAACCCATAAGCTTACAGCAAAACACACCGGAGGAATCTTATGAAAAAAAAATCAAATTTTAGATAATTTACCACGTATTAAGTTTAAATGTTTTCTGATGAACGCTGATATTGGGAGAAAGGCCTCGTCACCACTGGTTATAGTAGATATAGCATGGTTGACATATTGTTATACGAATGTATTTCAGAAAATAAAGGCAATTAATAAAGAATACAAGTAAGTAACCAAGTATCAGTTACTGGACTGGAGAACTTCTCTACATAGATCCACCCCTGTTTTGGAACATATGTATTCCAACGGCTCAAAAGTTTATTGATGCTCTCCTGGTAGAAGCTGTTTGGTTGCTGTGTAAACCCCAGTTGCACCACCTGTCGAACCTCGTGGTCACTGGCAAATCTCCGACCTTGGAGACCATCTGTCAAGGGTCCAAAGAGGTCAAAATTGGATGGTTTAATATCCAGACTGTATGGAGGATGAGTTAGATGTTCAAAGTACAGTTTGATAAAGTATGGATAGTCACCCGAGCACTGTGTGGTCTCACATTTTCATGCTGAAACAGAACACCTTGTGTCAATCTTCCACATCGTTTTGTTAGAATATATAGCTTCAGGTAGTTCTCTAGCATGTTGCAGTATTTTGCACCGGTGGTTGTGACTCCAAGCTCTATGAACTTGGCAAGAACTGGTCCCTGGAACTCTCGAAACAACTCTACAATTCTTTCCATATTGAGCCAACAGTCTCTGGAAATACAGCTACTGCAACACCTTCGGCTCACAAAAGAAAAAGCGAATTACAGATCCTGGTGCACACTGACAACTGACCGACGATGTTAACCACTTGCCTACTAGTGCCGCGAGTGCACAATGCATGGACGAGAGAGAATGCTTTCATAAATATTAGGTCGTCAAGAAATTAATGTTGCGTTTTGGAACACTTTCATTACCGCCCCCCCCCCAAAAAAAATCACGTAGATCACGTATAATAGTTAAACAAACCGTCTAAACGTTACGTTAGTGTAGCCTATATAATTTGTCAAATTTAGTATACTCTAATGATGTCTAATCCCTTATAGTGATGGCACACGACGAGACACACATTTGACATGTAATGCTGTTTGTATACAAGAAGGGAAACAACGCCTCTGTAGCCACAAAGAATATCAAAGAAGTTGGAAATGTTTTGAACGTTCGTAGTGTCAACGACGGTTCAACGTATTTCGTTCAGGTGACTTTAGCCTTAAAAACTGTAAAGGCAGGGGCCGACATGTTGG